TGCAAAGAAGAATGGCAGAAAATCCCCCAGTCCAGGTGTGCAAAGCTTGTCACATCATACCAAAAAAGACTGGAGGCTGTAATTGCTGCCAAAGGTGCTTCAACAAAGTACTGACTAAAGGGTCTGAATACTTAAGTACATGTGACATTTCAGTTGTTTTTTTTTAATAAATTTACAGACATTTCTAAATTTGTTTTCATTTTGTCATTATGAGGTATTGAGTATAGATTGAGGGAAAAAAATGAATTTGAACGATTGTGGTATCAGGCTGCAACATGGTAAAATTGAAAAAAGTGAAGGGGGTCTGAATACTTTCCAAATGCACTGTATGTTACCGTGTTGGGCCTTGATAAAAGAACAATTTCTTAAGAATAGCACAAGTGATATAATCCTGATTTCAGATCTCTTTTTTCATTCTTTATCCCAACTTTTTTTTTTAGATTTTTTTTGTCCTGCCTTTATTATAATTCAAGGTGGTGAACATACCTAATACTGCTTCCTCCTCCTATTTTTCCCACAACAACCCTGTGAGGTGAGTTGGGCTGAGAAAGAGTGACCAGCCCAAAGACACCCAGCCGGATTTCGTGCCTAAGGCAGGACTAAAACTCACCCTCTCCTGGATTCTAGCCTGGTGCCTGGACCAAATTGGCCCTCCTTAGCCTCTCCTAACTTTGCAGCTATTTTTGTATGTTTTGTTCCCGGTTTAAAAAATAGAGTATAGGAATTTCAAAGATTCTCAACAAAATTCATTTTGTTGGCAGCAGATCCCAAAAAGCCAGCTCTTTCTTGCTTTCTAGAGGCCGTTCGAATTTGCTCGGCTCCAACCTACTATCCTCAAAGTTGCAGCAAATACCAATACTGTACTTTTATTCAGCAGGTAGAAGGACATTGCTTACAACTCCTGCTCAAATACTTCAGGAGCGTGATTGATTTTCCAGCCATGTTCATTGTGCGTAGTTAACAATCATACTGAATCCTCCACTGCTGGGTCCCCTTCTTGTTTTTATATACCTGGATAGGGTAACCATAGTACCCACCCTTACACATTAGGCTCATAGCCATGCCTGACCTTGTCCTTCAATGCTAGGCAGATAGCACGTAGCCAGCCCTGATAAGGAGTATCAAGACCTGGGTCCCAGAGCATTAGGTACTGCCAAGAGACTCGCAGTGGCAAGGTTACCTCTGTTCATACAGTGGTTTACTGAATACACTGCAATTGGCTGGGCTAATGCACTGAACATCTTACAAATCACAAAAACTCAGTGTGGGTGAGTCCAGTTGAAGCCAGCAGTTGAAATGAGGTATCCAAAGAACCGTGTTCTACTTCTTTAAACATCTGCTTTATTTGCAAGCTCATAATGCTCCATTAATTTGTTGTTAGGCACAATCTTTTAAGTAATGTACAATAAACCACTGCAGCCCAAATGCAAATTTGGCTGGCAGTCACTTTGAAAGTCACTCCTATATTAGAAACTTATTTCTGAACTTGTGCTTTGTTGCAAAACCATTTGACTAAGTGCCAGTGAAAAGTTCATTTGGAAGAAAGGGGTAACACACCTAACTAGTCCTTTTTAAAAAAGGGCATGTTTTTAATGGTTTGCCACTTTTAAAAGTGCAACCAGCCCCCCCCCCCAAAGGGAGGAGATAAAGAGCTCTATATCATCTATTGATTGCTCATCCCTTGCAACGGACTAGTAGTGCCATACATATTCCTTAAGAGTAGGCAGATTACAAGGCAATTCAGTTAACATTTAATTATTTAGTTTACCATAAAAGATAAATGGTAATTTACACAATGCCCTTGGAAAAAGTGGGCTTTGCATCTTTAAGGGTCCTCTGATAATGATTGGAGTGGCTTCTGATATGGAAAGTTACTAAGAGTTTGGATGACAGAACATGTTCAAGATACCATACTCCTTTTGACCCTGTAAAACATTTGCATTTAGCACAGTGCACTGTCAGCTAGTTTATTATATGAATACTAATCTTGAAAAAGCCTGGCAGAAGTATTTCTCACTGTAGCTATATTCGGAGCACATTAAACCAGAAGCCAAGGTTAGCAAACTACACCTCCTCAAACATGCCAAAACCAACTATACAATATTAGATTGTGTGACTGTGTGTGATCACTTGTTCACACAACTGAGCCACTTGAATCAATTAATTGAAATGACCTCAGTTGTCTGAATTTGTACAAGAGTACTCTAAATTAGCTAGGCAGGCTTTATCCTAGTTATGTCCTGCAAACTGGCCATAATAGTTTCTATTGTGGTTTGTAAATGCTGTTTTGCTGAGTTGTTCAAATATACCCTGTAATTATAATAATTACACTAAAACACCAGTAATTTGCCTAAAGATGCCTTAATCCTCACTCAGGGCTATCTGCAGCAAGCCAAGAAGCACCTAAGTTACATGTACATGTTGACATCAAGACATTTTTATGCCATTACTTCATGAACTTCTCATCACCTGCCCATCCTTTACTATTCCACCGCAGAGTACCAAATATAAGCAGAAACCTCTAGAGTGCACTACAGTAGAATGTACCACAAAATATGTCACTATAGGCAAGGAACATCTGGAAATATGCTGCATTTAGGTTACTATACCATCTCTAGTAGATTAAGAAGTGGCACAGCTTTCCAACTGTGTCTCTTCATGGGGAACTTATGGGGGACTTATAATCAATTACTGAAAGTCAGGATAACATCTTCTAAGTGGAAATAATGTAAAAGCAGCTCTCCCACAGCTTTGAAAAGGAAAACACAGTGTTTTTTTTTAAAATAGTTTTATTGTGAGTTTTGACCAGTATGTTTGGAAATATGGCCAAGGCAGCAAACAAATACTTGGGATTCATTCCCAAAACCTGAAATAAAGCTTTATTTACAGCTGGTGTAAAGCTCAATTAACCAATTTAAAACATTTAACATCCCAAATTCCAATTACTAGAGTATACTGAGAACAAAATGTTCAGTAGGATTCTCTTTAAATACAAAAAAATTAGTTTTTTTCAAAGAGCTCTAGCAATATACATAAAGCTATGCACTTCTGACTTAATGAAGTGAGCAGGAAAAAGATTTATCAAAAAGAGAATACAATTAGTTCAGTAACTTTTCTGATGGTCCACATTTACAAAGCTGTAACAACCCTCCCCCTCCCCTGGTTCAGTCCCTCTTTCCCAAAAGTCACATACTTACCACAACTATTAGCAAGTATGGTTTTAAAGTTCCAAGGCAAGCTGCACAATTCAGTTGCCACTATCTACAGATCTTGACCTTGAGCGCGATCTCTGGCGATCCACAGAAGCAGGAGACTTTGATCTACTTGAGGAAGCACGTTTCTGGCTCTTTTCAGGGGCAGGAGATCGACTAACTGAGCGTGATTTGCTACGGCTTCGGCTTCTGGACCTGGTGTAAGACTTGCGGCTTCTGGACCGAGAACGGCTACGAGATCTTGAAGAGCTCCTGCTACGGGAGCGAGACCTGCTTCTAGACCTACTAGAGAAGTTAAATATCCATTTTAGATTAGGTTTACACTGACTACAAATGTGCATACATAGCATTTCTAAGCTGGAATTCTTACCTGTGTCTTTTGCTGCCTTCAATTAGTTTGATTTTCCTTCCATTGATTTCCTTGCCAGAAAGTTTTTCAATAGCATTCTTTAGATCACTGTAAGAGGCAAACTCAACCACCCTAATTAAAAAAAACATAATACAATTTATATATTAAAACTAGCAACTCTTAAACTTTCAAAAAATCTACTTTAGAGATTCCTTCCCCCAAATTATCCATTACAATATGTTATGATTGCTCCAAAATACTTACCCTTCATTTAATTTGGGCCTGTGTGCATCTGCAAATGTTACTTCCCCAGCTTGTCTCATGAAGTCTTTGAGATCCTATCACAAGATTAAATATGTTAGATAAAGGAGCCAGACAATGTTTATGAATAATAAAAATTACTACTGCAAAAAAAGATGTTAACAATTAAAACGCGGCAGATGCCACACTTGTAGATAAATCTGTATTTGATAGAATATATCAGGGCACGAAATAAATGAAATCAGCATATTGCTTTAAGCAAAATGCTCAAACCTTAAGTTATTTGTCTATACATTTTATGCAACTGAATGCAAGACAGTTTACTTGTATGAAAGCATTCTGAAATGTCTTACGATTAAACAGTACATTTACAAAACAAAAACCAGTTATTTTGTGCCCCATATGTCATTAAAAATATAGTTTACTTTACCTTCATTAACATTTCCCTAGGCTAGCCAAGCAGCAAACTGCATTAAGCGATCGAAGATACCATCATGGTACATGCCCGACTGGCTCTTCGCCAACCATTTGAAGAGAACTACCCAGTCGATGGAAGCCTTTAATCGCACAGCCCTCCCTATTAGCAGACTACTGACGGATCCAGACATTCTCTAATCTTGTGAAGTTACACCAAGGACCACTTTACTGCGATCAGGATTCCAACGACCACCTAATGCGTATCTTTCAACTCTCTCGATCACGATCTCTTATTTCGAAGCGTTACAGGAGGTACAGTTCTCAACTTAGGAATCAGATCTCGTTAACTTTCGGGGATCGCTGCAACCCGGCACTTTAAGGAAGTGCATCGATTACGTCTAGACCGGCAAACACAGATCTAGAGGTGGCCAACTGATACACTGGAGGAGCTGACTGGAAAAGTCAACCAGGCCCAACCAAGAGTGACCAAGACAGAACGATTAGGATAACCCACAGGCACTCCTCGTCATAAGGCCAACGACACAGATAGGCTGGCAAATAAAATGGATTTTTAAAGTGGTTAAAATGGATTTTTAAAACAAGATAAAATTACATTAAAAATACTACTATTAAACTACTTTTGAACAATGCATTTAAACATTAAGTATTAATAATTTTGATAATGTTTTAAGCTTAAGATAAAAATTAGTCTTAGTAAAAAAAATACATATTACATACCCATTAAATGAAGTCTAAGATAATCATGTTTAACAAACCTGCCAGCTGACTCGAGAAGACAAGTTTTCTACAATGAGACGATTTTCTGTTCTTACAGGTGGTGCATTTCTAGTGAAAACAAAATATTCAGTTCATTAGTTTTGCCTACAAAAAGTTAAACTGAGCATCAGCTATGTTCGTTACACAGTATTTACCTTCTATCATTTCGTGGGCGGCGGCTACTAAATCGGTCAGAATAACGTCCTCTGCCTCTTCCACCTCTAGAGCGGGCTCTGGCATGTTCAATTGTGACTCTAGAAAGCAAAATAATATATCTGTTTATAACACAATAAGCCATTATTCCATCTATGTAACACTAATATGAGAATAATTAATTATGACTCCTTCCAAGGTTTCAGAAAAATTAGGCCTACCTGAAGAAACTGGAGTCCAATGTACTATTTGCAAAGGATGTGCTTTAGCACCGGCTACTATTGTCAAACATGCCATAAAACACATATGCAGCATCCAAATAACTATTGCTATCAACGGGATATGAAATACTACCTTTCACTGCAGAGCTCTTTTCCATCCAATTCATAGACTGCATCATCAGCATCTCTGGGATCTTCAAACTCCTGTTAAATAGTAAAATAATGCATCAGCAATTTACTGAACAGTATTGCTGGTTACTGTTTTCTGCATAATAAACTGTGAGTTTCTTAAGGACACTAAACAGCCAATTGATTTGTATTTCGGTCCTCTGAATTTATACCCAAATCCCGAGGAAAATCATTATGGATTACACTGCAATATTTCCTGACTTGGTATCAGTTATACACACTGTAGAGGGTATTACCACCACAAAAATCAGTCTTACATACTTAAGGACTGAAGTGGCTGCACACAAAACCACCTTAGGTTCTTTTCCCCATAGGAAGGAATCAACTTCATTGCTGTCAGGGGCTGCTTGTATTGAAGCATTTCTTTACTGCTTACCACAAATCCAAAACCTCTCTTCAGATCAATATCTCGGATGCGTCCATATCCCTTAAAGAATCTCTCCACATCCTTCTCTCTGGCGGCTGGATTCAACCTTCCGATGAATACACGACAACCACTCATGGTATCGCTTAAGGTAGAGTAGCTGTAGAAGAAAAAAGAATTAGAACAGAACAAAAATCAACGAAGAAACTCAAGTCCTCGGCAAATCAAGTCTAAAGAAAGATGGCCGCCACCCAAAAGGATCAGCAGCTGCTGGCATCGCCGGCTCGATTCACTGCCGCAGTACCTCCTCCACCCTTGGTTGCCGCAGTCTGACATCAAGAAAGGCAGAACCCCACGCAAGTCACACCGCTCGCTCCAACACGTCGCCGAGTTCCGCCTCCCCCTCGTCCAATTGGAAAACGCCACCTCGATTCCACCTTTCACGACGCAGCATCAACAGCCAACGCGAACTTGCCAGCGAGCTGCGCATGCGCCTTGCACACGATCGCCCGTCAATCCTAGCCCTCCTGATCGCTTTCACGAAATGGCGGCGCGGCCGCACCCAATGTTCCAGGCCAACGTTACCGCTCACGGCTTTCTTCCTTTACTTAAGAGGAAATTTAGTCACTCACACACACCACCCACGTTTTAAAGTAAGTTAAGCTTCTCTCCCACTTAACCACCAGACTTATTACAACGCGACTGTCTCTTTCTGAATTTGCTCTCCTGGCTGATCGCTGTACTAAATCTGAATAAACCGGCACTTACGATCGTCTGTTCTCGGTAAAAAAAAAAGGCGCAGGTGTCAACGGACACTGACACACTGCCAACCACCTCCAACGACGTCCTAACCTCGACTGGGCAGGTCGAACGTTAACTGCGCCACAAAATGGAACCTCATGCCACGTGACCGCAGAGGCACGTGATGTACTTGCAGTTCAGTGATAGGTGGAAAGCGATGGAAAAATGAGGTCAGTGGAGGGGGAAGGGCTTTCGGCTGGACTGAGACACTGGAGGAAAAGAAGCCAGATGCGTCAGAGCAGATGGGCGCGGGCGCAATAGAGTCTGTTTGCCCCTCCTATTTTGATGTATTTTTATAGTCCACCCAAACTTGAAAGAGGGTAGTAAGGCATTTTTCGGTCTTCCCGCAGAATCTTGTTCTTCACTTTGAAAATACACCCTGGCAGAGAAAGGGTGCGGGTACGAAACTATTAGTCCAGAACAAGCAACAACCATATTATGCAAGGGACGATGCCAAGTCGGGGCTGCAGCCATCCGGACGGCCGCGAGATGGCAGCAAAGTAGCGGCCGTCCGGATGGTTGCAGCTCATAACCAGTGGCCCCGCGGGGGGCGGGAAGTGGAGGGGAGGAAGTCGCGTAGATACCTACATACGAAACACCTTTCTGGCGCAATTTTGCCTTTACCTAAAAATCGGTCCTTCGAGATTCAGCGGAGGTTAACCGCGGGTGAGTGCGCGCCGCTGCAGCCTTCTGGCTGAGCGTCCTCCGGAGCTGCCCAGAGTCACCTAGTGAGTCGGGCCGCTCTCCTTATGAACCGAACAAACCAACACGCGGCTGCCGTTTTGTTGCGTGAAACGAAGGCGCCCCTTCGTGCTCTCTCCCTCGCCCTCCTTTCCCACGTTTTCCCAGCCGTGCAAGTCGCCGCTTGGCCGTCCGTCTCCGATGCGTCTCTTCCTGGCTCGACCTCTCCGGGTCCTTTCCTACAACCGCAGCTCCTTTCCCAGGCTGCGCGGGACATTTGGTGAAGGATCCTGGAGCTGCGGGGTCCTCTCGGGGGCTGAGAAACCTGGCGCTCCGGGCGGGGAGGGCCGCGCGGGCGAGATAATTCGCCTCATGGCTTTTCTTGGGTCTTCACGCGCGAGGCGCCAATATTAGGGCTTCATCGGTTTCCCACCTCAACAGGGCCGTCTTTTTCAGCCCTCGGGATCGGAGGCGGTGTCGAGGGGCGAAGTGGGGGGACTCCAGGGCCACAGGCTGCTTATGCCACCCTTCCTCGCCAACTCTTTTCAACCAGTATTTTTCCAATTTGTTTTAATATTCTGGGGGTGCACGTACATACTAGCGCATTCACACTAAGGAAAGAAGTTTGCGGCCATACTTACAGTAGGGCTGTAAACGACAAACTTCTCTACTCAGGTTCACAACTCGGCTAAGAAAGTTGCCGGGCAGCTTTTTCTAATTAATTTTGAACTTGCCTTTTGATTGTCTGATTAGATTCACAGTCAGACAAGGGAACTGCAGGATACATCCTCAGTATTCTCAGTATGCAGTACTGTACAGTATTGTACTGGAAAAGACTTAGTTGTGCTACTGTTTTCAAGTGCTGCTTCTCTCCGTATTTGTTTCATTTTCTTGTCTCCTTTCATTTTTAATTTTAAAAAGCAGGCAGCTTGTATGAAAATGCAGAAAGACATTATTCCAGTATATGTTTTTAATTTTTAAAAATTAGCACCAGTAAGATTGCAGCCATACAGCCATCTTAGCATCACTATGTAGTCTTAGCATCAGTATATATACAGTGATCTTGATTCACATATGTTGCTAAACTACAATGAGATTTGATTTTAGATTAGCATGTGTAAAATCTCCAGTTATAATCTGTGAACCAGGCCACTATCACTTCCTTAAATATGCCTACTTTAATACTATGAACAAAGTCATGGCTGTTTAGAGAGAGGTATAAATGAAATGAGACCCCTATCCTATGGAATTTACAAATTAATTTTTCAACTTACTTCTACATGTGAGAGTACTGTACTACATTTATTAGTAAATAATTTGAATGTGTTTTTGCAATATTGTCCATCACTTCCACATTTTGTCTTGTCTCTCACTATGTCAATGGTTTAATTTTCACCTCCATAATTTTAAATTTTAGCAACCTGAGCCAGACAGTGATTAAAGCAAACTAAGGTCTCTTTTAAGCATAGTGCTTTGAAGATAAACACATTATTTGGGATGAGAGAGAAATCAACATGTTTAGAAAGGAAGAGAAAGTTTTCATCACAAAACTACTAGGCTCTAAAATCTTTTTATTTCTGGGTTTGCTGGCACTATATAGCCACTCCCACAGTTTTGCTCCTGCTTCAGACAGGAAAAGATCAACATTGGCTGAAGACTTGTATAGCACAAACCACAGGGGTTACAGCCCTGTGGATTCTACTGTATTGATGCAAAAAGGACCCAGAAAACCTGCATTAACTTTCAGTTTGTCAAAAAATACTTCATTTGTTATAGTCACAATCCAGCCATAATTCTGTAAGTTTTCTAGGAATAAGTCTTCCTGATTGCAGGGATATTTAGTAAATGCTTGAAATTGGAGATAAATGTATTTAAATTTGGCACCATAGTTTCAACTGGGAAACTCTCAGCATCTTAGACCAAGCTAAATCCAAAAACATGAGGGAATTTCTGGAAGCTTGGTATTGAGACAAGGCAGCCATCAACAGGCACATAGAGATAAACATCTACACGCTATTCAAACGAGATAATAAGGACCTCCTCACCACCAATCAACATCCAGATAAGCAGAGATTAACACCAGGATTAACCCCAGAAAAACAAGCAGTAAACAATACCCTAATCAAGGAACTTCCACCTCACAGATAATCAAGCAGTAAGCAATAGCCTAATCTAGGAACTACCAAGAAAAAAAAAAAACACCCCCTCCAGCACTGACAGGGCAAGTTACTGTATATAAACAGAGAGTAAACCCCACTCCCTTCTAGCACTGAAGATGTTACTTATCTGGGTAATGAAACGTCTGCAAGAAAACAACCAAGCTCAGAGAACCCCAAAGGCTTCACAGTTCAAGTTAAATTCCTGGTGACATCATGGATATATCCATGTAGTTTTGGAAACTATATAAAATTGGCTTGCTATTGTCTTTTTCCAGTTTGTTTTAAATTCCCACCTAGCTTGTAGCCATCCAGATACTAACCAAGTCCAACCCTGTTTAAGTTAAATATCACTTCCCACCTGATAATTCTCCACTGCAATTTCCTCTAGTGTGTTTGTATTAATCTTGTATAGCAAAATCCTGAGTTGGAAATCTATATTTACAGTGTAAGTTATACATTGGGGCAAAAAAGTATTTAGTCAGCCACCAATTGTGCAAGTTCTCCCACTTAAAAAGATGAGAGAGGCCTCCTCAACTATGAGAGACAAAATGGGGGAAAAAATCCAGAAAATCACATTGTCTGATTTTTAAAGAATTTATTTGCAAATCATGGTGGAAAATAAGCATTTGGCCACCTACAAACAAGCAAGATGTCTGGCTCTCACAGACCTGTAACTACTTCTTTAAGAGGCTCCTCTGTCCTCCACTCGTTACCTGTAGTAATGGCACCTGTTTGACCTTGTTATCAGTATAAAAGACCCCTGTCCACAACCTCAAACAGTCACACTCCAAACTCCACTATGGCCAAGACCAAAGAGCTGTCGAAGGACACCAGAAACAAAATTGTAGACCTGCACCAGGCTGGGAAGACTGAATCTGCAATAGGCAAGCAGACAGAAAACGTTTGACCTCTGTCATTGCCAACGAAGGATATATCACAAAGTATTGAGATGTACTTTTGATATTGACCAAATACTTATTTTCCACCATGATTTGCAAATAAATTCTTTAAAAATCAGACAATGTGATTTTCTGGATTTTTTCCCCCATTTTGTCTCTCATAGTTGAGGTATACCTATGATGAAAATTACAGGCCTCTCTCATCTTTTTAAGTGCCTCAACTATGAGAGACAAAATGGGGGAAAAAATCCAGAAAATCACATTGTCTGATTTTTAAAGAATTTATTTGCAAATCATGGTGGAAAATAAGCATTTGGCCACCTACAAACAAGCAAGATGTCTGGCTCTCACAGACCTGTAACTACTTCTTTAAGAGGCTCCTCTGTCCTCCACTCGTTACCTGTAGTAATGGCACCTGTTTGACCTTGTTATCAGTATAAAAGACCCCTGTCCACAACCTCAAACAGTCACACTCCAAACTCCACTATGGCCAAGACCAAAGAGCTGTCGAAGGACACCAGAAACAAAATTGTAGACCTGCACCAGGCTGGGAAGACTGAATCTGCAATAGGCAAGCAGACAGAAAACGTTTGACCTCTGTCATTGCCAACGAAGGATATATCACAAAGTATTGAGATGTACTTTTGATATTGACCAAATACTTATTTTCCACCATGATTTGCAAATAAATTCTTTAAAAATCAGACAATGTGATTTTCTGGATTTTTTCCCCCATTTTGTCTCTCATAGTTGAGGTATACCTATGATGAAAATTACAGGCCTCTCTCATCTTTTTAAGTGGGAGAACTTGCACAATTGGTGGGTGACTAAATAATTTTTTGCCCCACTGTAATTCTGACCAGTGTAGTTATATAAGCTTTATGTTATAAACTGATGATAATCTTCATATCTGGAAGCACTTAAGAGGCTTTTTTTAATCCACAAAAATATATGCAGTGGTAAATGTGTTAGTCTTTTAAGATTTTTTGTTGGTTTTGCTGCAAGAGAATAACACAGTAGAAGTTTGGATATCTGGTTACAAATATAAGATACCTGGGATAAAACTCTTGTTGTGAGTGTGATAAGCACATAAATAGTTGTCTGTTGGGGAGTGGTTTGGATCCAACTGCTAAGAACTTGTCAAAAACAACTGGAGTTTAAATGTACATTTGGCACTCAGAAAGTTTTCATTTTTAATTCAGTCAAATATAAAAAGAATTGCAAGTAGCAGACTCTTAAATGTGGACTGCTCCACCAGAGATGCTAGACTAGACTGATTTGCTGTTCAAACCAAAAACAGAATAACATCACATGACAAGGAATATCAAACATTGACATTCTGATG